AACTTCCACCTAGCTTGTATTTATTAACTTAATAACTGTCAATTGGATTTTTTCATTTGGGATAATTGTCTCTGATATTTCTAGCATTGATTCGATGTTTTTGATTCTCTGTCGTCACTGATTTATTTTGCATCAGAACAGCTAGGAACGTTAAACGATTTTCTTAAAAGCATTTAAACGCTATATTTTAATTTATAAGCAGTATTGCATCTCATATAACTAACCTACTGGTACTTTAGAAACCCTATGTATAAACGAAATATAAGTAATGTCGTCGATTGACATAGGAAATATAATTTTGTTTCATTGATAATTCTACCAAAGAATGTGATATTGAAAAATTCCGGGCCTTCCTTGAAATTTGCATCTGCCCTTTGATCCAAGGGCACTCGTGGTAATGTGGTGTAGTGATTAACGTGTCGAGATTAAATGCTGCACCGAGGGTATTGATAAGAACTAGGCGAGGTCAAAACTGCAGTCAACTTCTGACTGGATGAGGACACCTTTTGGGAAGGCAAGGATGTGTGAAATTGAATGGAAACGTTAGCTCTACTTATATACTTGTGAGAAAATTCAATTATCAGTCCTTCATCACCTTAAACGAAATAGGGTGAATTCATCTGCTATATTTAAAAGCATGACATTTATTTACGGACATTTTTAGCCTTATTTTTATTTATATACTTCCTCTCCTACCCTCTTTTTACTTTTTAGAGCCAGCAAATCCAGCACGCCATGCATCTCCTAATCTTTTTCCAGCCTTCGTATTGCCTGTTGATTGCCCTACTCTACAGAGTATCTGTGAACACTTTTCTCAATGGTTGACCGATTGCTGTTGTGAGCTCGACGTGGCAGACCCTACAAGCTGGCGACATATGGAGCTGCTTGCTCAGGCCATTGAATTAGCCACACTTATCTTGCCATCATCATCAATCAACCCAGATGGGGTTGGCGGAGTTGAGGATCTAGAGGGAGGTCAGTAGGATCACTTAATTACGCCTGCTAAAATCATTAATATTACTTGTCCCTAATATATTTAGGCTTCTCCTTCAGAGCAAATTTCTTGCGTTTGCTGACGACACATTTAGGTCTGAGCCTGCTGCTTAGTTTAGGAAAGAATCAAAACTTTTATTGTTTAATCGAGGTTTCTTTACGGTTTTTGCATCTTGACTTCGGGCTAGGGCGAGAAAATCAAGGAGGCCGACCTGAAGGGAAAGACAATTGCGATAAGGATACAAAGATATAAGAGCAAAATGGGATTATGTATGATACTGAAATGATTTCCGTTTTCCTCTGCTCATGTCTTAGATTCTACGATTCCAAAGAAGATAATGCCTTTGCTTGAGGAATGCACGTGTGCGGTAAAAATTCTGATGGCTAAATTCTTGTCCTTTCAGCTAGGTATTCTCATTTGTCAGGGTAATTGCTTTAGCGCTTGATGGATGGCTGAGAAATGGTAGAGACTGCCACAAGATGACTAAAGGGGTATAAATGGCATTACGAAAGCCCCTTTTTGGCCGACAGAAAACGAGGTTGTTTGACCCAACATTTCGTTTCCAAGACAATTAGTTTAAAGGTATTCGTGAATTGGCCTTACTAAAAGCTGGATGAGGATTGCTTGGAGTGGATATTGGTGGGCTTTACACAGTTTTCAGTTCTCAAGAATCCATGTTGAACTTTGAATATCGTGCTACAGACATTATTAGAGTCAAAGGCCTTAGCTAACGAAAAAAATGCGCCGATTTACTAAACCAAAAGTCAAGTTGGCTGATTGCTTGCTTATTATTCTATCTTTCACGATTTTAATTGAGCATCCCGTGCTTTGCCTCATTGTTTGACCTTGTTTTTGCAGTTTGGTTGGAGCAACAAGTAACGTACTTTGGGGTACACACCCACTTTTGTGCTTTCTGCCGTTGTATTCATGCTAATTTCCACCATCGGAGCACTGAATTTGTACATCTCCAGACATTTCGTCAGTATCGTAGTCGGCATAGTCAGTGAGAGATGCCATCCTTAGCGTAAAGCTACAACCTACCAAAACGAAAACTGAAGGCAATCTACTTGAACAATTTTATGTTCAATCATTGTGGCATCACTCTTTCCACCTTTTTTGTCCTAGCTTCTAGCTCCGCATCCCTATCTCTCAAACCAACTTCATATGGCCCATTTACCCATTTATATTCTTATGTGTCTTCGCTTGCTCCAATGCCACCTAAGAGTGCGTCGCTTCGAATGGATTTAGGTAAGCGTAATCACCCTTGCCACCGGTTTAAGATGCACTTCCTCTGCTCTCTTGGACCCAATCAACATTATTATTTAGCCTTATCAGTTGGCCCCTGCTAGGCATGAAAATCATTGTCTAAATGGTTGTCTACAAGCTTTCGATTACGATTCGAGGATTTCCCAAACGGTGATTCTGGATGAGCCGAAATGTTTCCCCACGGACATTTTCACCTGCACAAGCCTTGCAACATCCTGAGTTGGAAATATACTTCGATAATTATCTA